AGGGGACCGGGTACTCTATCGGTTGATGCAGTGTGACTTTAACTCAGCCGAGACCGCTGCACCAGCTTTCCTGAATTAGTCCAGGGTTCGGTTTGTAAAGCGGATTTGGAACAAGCAGCAAAAGTCCTGGCACTCGTGCCTAGGCGTTGCAGGAGTAAAGCACCTGGGTGGAAGTGAGCTATTAAATAGGAGAAAAGCATCCAGTGTTGGGGGTCCTTTATGGACACGGCAAAAGAGAACTTGAAACAAAATGGGAATTCAACTCCTGTGATCTAAGCGGCAGCTACTTAACTGGCCTCCATCTTTGCTGTCTGTTATTACTGTGCTTGTACTGTCCTGCAGGCAGAGAGCCTAGACATATGCACGGTTTCTTGTATATAGAAAAAGTTACATCTATACCCACACTGGTGATGGGATTGGACATACAGGAGTAGCAGCTGAGCAAGACTCTAGAAGAAGATGCTTAAGCTCAAAGCCACCAAACCTACTACATGGGGTAGTGCATGCCACCTGTGTTGTGTAAGTCCAAGGTTTTCACAGGTGTAAAATGAAAAAATGTGGCTTTAAAGCATGTTTGTCATGTGCATATGAACTGCTGTGGTGAAATTTAGTTTCTCTTCACTACAGTAAAATTACTGAATTTAAGCTTTTCCTTTTAGAGCCAGAACACTTTTGGCTTTGGTTAACCCTAAAACCACTGTGTCCCATACCCATCAAGTACAACTCAGGTATATTAAATCTGCACATAGCACACTGTGTTGTCTTGGCAGGTTGCCTTTCTAATGAGGTTTTTGAAACAAGATAGTGGCTTAAGTGCTATGTACAAATAAACTTTAACTGAATAATTGTTTGACATGGGATAAATTTATTTAATAAAACAAAGCAAGCAGATTGTAGTTACCCACAGTTTATGAAGTGCAATATGACAATCTTGTTTAATAAGTCTAAATCTGTTTACATGTTAGTGCATCTAGTCCTTTGACTTTAGTTATTGCACATAGAAATTAAATCATATAAAAGACCTGCGTACAAGACATGCAGACTTAATGAAAGGCAAATAATGCCTACATAATCAAAGCAAACCCCAGAATCTACACAGCCTGGAATGGTCAAGGAGGAGTTCAGGTAACAAATATAACCTGCTAATATTTCAATTAAATGTAACCAAAATAGGTGTTCAAATATAGAATTAATTTTAAATATATTAAATGCTAGTTTTCTTTTATGTTTCAGGCAAGGTGCTGTTTAAAAAACCTTCGATATAATAGCTTCATTTAGAGATGGTAAATCATCAAGTTACACATGGAAATTTTGATTTACATTAAATGTGACAACACAAGGTACAAAAAAGTTCTTAAAAAATTACTTCTAAAAAAAAAGCAAATCATGTTATAAAAGGAGAGCCAAAACTCACCTTCTTTGTAAACTAAAACATTTTCTGACATCCATGAATAGTTGGCAACACTGAGTATCAGAAAAATACTACATGTGTTAAATAGTGGATATGTAGTGTTCAAATATTGAATTTACTGCATACGTTTAGTCTTGAATCATTACACCAGATAGAAATAAAAGGCGATTCTCCCTCCCCCCTTAGTTTTGGCCATTAATTAGCAGAAACAGTCTTTAATTACATCGCGATCAGCTTGAATAACTGCAATGCTTGAATTCCTATTCCATAAAGTCCAAAAAACCAATGCATGGGGGTCAAAATCTTTCAGTCACGGCTGTTTCCACAAACATCAAGTGATTTGATGCCTGGAGTTGCACAGCTGTAACGTGAGAATTTGGTCCCATGCTTTGCGTGTAAACACAGTGCAATGGAAAAGACTCACAGCAACAAATTCTCCTATAAGAAAAAACTTGGTGTGTTTCACTGTAGCAAGAGGCTCTATACACAGTAGGGTAACTAAGTACTTCGGGCAATGTGCCGTATTAGACATTTCATGTGTGTGCTCATGTCTTTATAAACATTCAGAATTAATTGTGAATCAAGGTGATTGTACCTCACTATAAGGCGGCTTGCTATGGTTTGGTCTCATGGCTTTACCAATGCGTTTCTCCTCATTTACAAAAATCTGACAGTACCACCTTCGCTGATAGTTGTGTGTGTTTTATGGCTACTCGCTTCCCAAAAAAAGCACAAGTTCTGTATGAAAAGAGTAATATGTATATACCGCACTGAATCACAATATTACCTATACATCCAATTTACATTCTTTTATCCTGAAAGCATTTCATATTTCGATTGCTTGACACAAGCTATTGACTGCAGAAGTGAAAGAACATAAAACAGTTCATTCTACACCTCCAACTGCCTGAGAAAGATATATTCTTCCAGTTTTATAAATTCATTCCTTATTTAGGATTTTTTCCATTTGGCACGCAGTTCCTTTGCTGCCAAACAACCTTTCAATGCTTCAACGCGCATTAACGTAGCATGAAAAACGTAAGCTGAACAGAAGGTGTGTCACCAAGCTCCTTGATCTATTACAGTTAGGTTCCTCCTCCCTCCCCCAAAGAACAGGTCATCTTAGCCTCCGAGTTTAAATGCTGATGGCAGCCAGTAAAAAAATAAATCAATTGCTTAATGGAATGAAACTTCATGTAGCTGAAGTACACAGGAACAATAACCAGGCAAGTGAGCACAAAGGTATGGTTATAGGCAGTCCTTGGGGGTGGGGGGGGGTGGGGGGAGTGGCACAAGTTAAGGATGAGAACTACAGCACAGTTTATAAAACCATGAGAATAACTTTTATAATACTGTAAACTGCAAGAGTCTTCACATGTCATGGTTGATCAGGGGCCTCCGTGATCAGATCTTTAGGAGGGCATGTAGAGGAGCGGGGATCCATGGCTGAGTGCATTAAGGGAATATAAACATCATCCATGTTTGGCATGACAAAGATTTTCTGTGAAAAAGATGCAATTAAACCAAGTTACATTTCATATGCCACTTGAAACCTTAAGTTTTCCAATTTGTTTAATTAAAAAATGCAACAAGTTTCCAGATAAAAGGTTCTTCAGTTCAGCATTGTCAATGCCATACTGAAGCCATACAGTGTCCATTAATTCAAGCCATTTCGTTGTGTTACAGTTGTAGATGCAGCTCAGAAATACGAAGATCTCTGCACTTTCCATTAAACTGAAACAGCACTACAGGAAACACACCAACTTTTCTTAACGCTGATGCTTTCTCAGCTCTTACCCATATACTTTCAAACTGTACTTTTAATGAAGTAAGCATTTTTGATTTCTGGTTGATTGTACAGGTTGGGGTCCGGAATGAATCTGGTCAGTAAACTGTTTTCCTATCCTACAAGTATTAGTAAATTTGGAGTTTTTTCCCTATTTTGCACTATAGTCAATGTGATTTATTAAAATTATTTTATTTTAAAGAAGTAGTAATGGGACACCTTATTGTCTCATCTGTTCTTCATTTTAGACAACAGCTTGGCCCTCTATCATCCAAGAATGCCTAGTGTCATGCTTTTATTTAAGTACTACAAGTTCTGACGTAGTACCTGTTTCAAAGAAATGGCATTTTTGTCTCTAAAATAATTCTGACAAGTGCTAAAACAGATTTCCATCCAGGTCTACACATGGTCTCGAGACCATCCCAGAAGTTAGTTTCAGCTGAGTTCTGAACATCCTTTCCACTCAACAGGAGCAGTGGAAGATACCAACTAGTTTTGAATGAAATAGGGGATGTGCAAAAATTAAAACCCCCACCCCTCTAATAGACCAAAACTATCATTAATGAAATGAAAATGTAAAGGAAACACACCTGAAACTCTTGTTCTAGTTTCCTCTCTATCCAGTCAGTTACATGAACCAGAGTCACTTCTCTCTCACCAAGTTTTGGCCGAGCTTTTAACTCCAGGTAGGGAGGTTTTCGAAAGCCATACCTTAGGAGAGTACACAGAACAGGTTTTATTATAAACACTCCAGCAAAGCATACACTTAAATGTATTAACTGTCAATGTTCTCTTAATAGCAGTTCCTACCTCATTTACAACTAGTTTGTATTGCACCTCTTCCAGAACCCATTTCAGCTACACTTTACCTTTTTTCTTAGTTGCAATCCCTTAGGTAGCACACACCTGGAACATGCCCACTTCTGCAGTAAGTTCCTCTTACCATATTCTGTCAGTAGGTGGAGGTGGAATGTTAATTACTAGTGTTCCTCTGCACTCTTGTACTTCAACTGTTAGCAGCAATGGAGTATTGGAGACCTCTTCAATTTTCTTCTTAATAAACTCAGTCTCTGTTGCTTTCTGAAAGTATTTTGACTTGGTAATTTTATCCACAATTCTCATGATTTTACTTGTCCGATGTCCTCCAACATACCTTTAGATAGAAAATAGAAAAAGAATACATCAAGGTAATTTTCTTGAACTTATTGTTCGCTAAGACACCCATGGATTTCTTATTAAATCATTAGAGTTTTTGATATAAAAATTCTAAGCAGATACATATTCCCATGTCCAAGCAGTACCTACCAGAGCCTGCACACAGCAGCCATACTCTGTCAGCTGCAAGTGTCTGGCAGAAATCTGTCCAGTCTGAACACTCCTCCTTCCCAGATGGCATTGGAAATGCAACATCTTTTAAAACTGCAAATATACTTACATCATTTATGCCACCAAGCTGACATGAGAAGTGACAACCTGTCTATTACCATTCTAACAAAACCGTCAAGACACAGATGCACCAAGACATATGCACATATCAGCATAGAAGGCCCAACCATCATGTCTCATCTATTTAACAGTGCATGTCAAATGCAAAGGTTTTTATTTTAGGTATTGCAGCATTTACGATGAGTATAAAGGTGGTGAAAAAGAGGAAGGCGATTTTGGCAGTGGGTGAAATGATATTCCCAAAATGGTTAACTATCCCTGCAAAAAGAGGCTACTTTTCTTGGCAGTAGCGTCAGACGGCATCCTAGCTTTTAAAACAGATGCTTTAAGGACTGAATGTGTCTTTTCTCACACCTATCCCATTTCAGAAATATACACTCTAAGAATAGCATGTTTGATATTTTCACACACTATATTATACCTAATTGTGGCTCTTGATGTTACGTAGCAGAGATACCCTTGCTAAGGAAATAACATTTTCCTATCCTGCAAAAAATTAATGTTTATCCAGCCTTTTACAGAACTTTTTCCTTAGCATGGGGTAAGACAAGAAACTCGGCTGATATAAAAGGGGTGAATTCATTTCAACTTTTGGATTTTACACTAGCTGTAACTTTACCCAGATAAATTAGCTACTCTCTCATCAGATTCTATAGCGATAGTAATGCAGAGTTTTGAAAGGCATAAGGAAATTCATTCAGTATTTTGCTTAAAAATTCTTTGTTCTCCCTCTTTGTCCTTAAGAGTTCTTTGTATGATCTATGTATTTTTTTAAAGAAATGAAATGCATCTATTGAAATAATTCCAACAATTCATCACATAGTTTTCAAAACATTTTAGGAGTAAAACTCCAAGGAAACTCCCTTGAACATTTTGAGTATGCCATAGAGCCTTTTGGTACATTCACTGTAGAAATCACTGAGATGTGTTCAGACATAGGAAACATTGTGATCGTCTGAGACATTTCAGTGTTACTACAGATTTCTCATTGCATGGCATAATTTCAATCAGATGTAAAAAGCAAAAAAATCAGAACAGCAGCCAAAACAAGGAATGACGTGGCAAAACGGACGTTAGGAAATTTTCTTTAAAATTCTTGCACAGCATCAGAGGGCAGTATTGCATAGCCCAGACACTCAAAGCCCTTCAAGGAAAAAAGAAAAAAAAAAAACAAACCAAAACACAACACACAACCCTGAGCAAGAAAGCTAGGCTTGAATAACAGTTGTTTTCTTAAAGAAAAGAACACACTGGAAATAAGGGATCAGCAGGATCAGTATGGGTATAATGCTGTATACAAACAAAGTATTTCAAGTTCACGCACAAAATCCTGTTCTTGGCTCTGCTACCAGGCAAGCCACGCTGGGGAAAGTCCCCATAGGTTCTCTGGCCCAAAGCCTTGGCTCTCTCTGTAATCTCATAGTGAAGGAATTAGGAGGTGTCAAATGGAACACTGTACAGGTCACTCTGCAGAAGTGCTGTATGGTGAACAGTGCTCCCAGCACAGTAAAACACTCAGCAGAGCAGCTTTCTTTCAATCTGTAGTACATGGCTTGTGCTGCTCTTTGCTCTAGAAATGGGTGAGTCGTGTTTGCTTAATTGCTTGGATATACTCACACTATGACATGCTGTGTGACAATGAGCATTGTAGGACTGGAGTGAGATACTGGTTACACTAAGTCTGGAAATGCAGCGGGGAGGAAAGGATTAACAAACACTGCGTAGACAGCTCACCCTTCTGCTCCTGGAGTCACCTGCTTCTCTCCTGCCAATTCAGGAGCATCATCCTCTTCTGAAGACCCAGCGCTGGAGGATTCCTCATCACTGTCTGCAAGACAATACGCCCTTGGCCTGAAACTGAAACAATGCAATTTCCAGGTCAAATGTAATATTCTTAAATAGCTATTCATCATGTACAGCTTTGGCTGACATTACATGTACTTCTATTGGAGACACTGGAATGTCCCCTCCTCTTTTTTATAAACTCTATCTAAAAGAACAAAACCAAAACCACTCTGAAGCCAGTCTCTCAGATCTAGCTTCAAAACAGAGAATTTGTTTTCTCCAGTGGAATGTAATCCTGCATAAAAGAGGATGGCAGGGGAATAGCTATTCTACATACTCAAATCAGATGTGGAGATTATTTAAAATACATTTGAAAGCATCTCTGTTGTTGCTTGTGGCCTTCCATGAAAGTTGAGCAGTATGTAGGCTGGACAGGGGTTTTTTTTTTTTTCCCTTTGTTTTTAAAACTCTGACAAAGACATGCTTTTAAACTGAAAGGTGAGAGCATGCAATTCTGTCCTGTACTAAAAGCAAACATAGGACTTCAACTTAAAATGACATCGTCTACCAACTGAATCCCAGAATCCCTTGGAGATGTTAACTGCGGTGCTAACATATATACCTTATCTTCACAGCGCTTTCCATTTTGTCTACTCACACACACGCGCAATTTTTGCAGCGTAGACATATCTCCAGCGATGGCAACACGGGCAAAGCACAAGGGAATCAGATCTTTGTCATCTGCCTCCAAAAGGAAATGCACAACGCTCACACTGGCAGAGCAAAGTTGTCTCAAACTGGTGATTCACCTTACTGTAGCTACAGTGTGTGTCATCACTTACCAATTTTGTGTAGAAAAAAAGACAATTTTATTAACAGTAGTAGTCTAACATAATCCTGGGAAGTAATATTTCTTAGATGTTTTGCAGAGATACTTTTGTCCCATACAAATTTAGGCTATA